CCCCCCAGGGGGGATGGCCACGCCGCAATCCCTTCTCTTCCATTCTCCTCTTGGGATCTTGAACATGCACACGCACCTGGCGTTAAGTAAGCCCACCGTGTCCGGGACTTGAACTGCAATCAACTATGTGGGAGTCCAGCGACATAGCCATTACACTAACTGTTGGTCCCCTGATGATTATCTTCTTTACTAACCAAAATGCCCAACTGAAAGGGACTATGAATGATACCAAACAACATTCATCTCCCTGTATGACTGGGAATCAACCATACTTTAATTTATTGTAATGCTTATTAAACAAATATATTTTTGTTACATTTCTATCAGTGAGTTACCCATATTTACTGTCTTATCCACTACTACTCCTATGAAACTAATTTCTTTCTTCTTCTCTCCTTCCCTTCTCTTCCCTTCCTGTCCCTTCCAGTCCCGTCCCGTCCCGTCCCGTTCCGTCCCGTCCCATCCTGTCCCATCCTGTCCCATCCCGACCCGTCCCTTTCTTTCCATCTATCTATATCAATGTTTAAATCTAGACTCATGGGGCCAGCAGGTGGTGTGGTGGTTAAGGTGCTGAACTCCCACATGGCCAACAGAACCAGAACTGTTTTCTCACTTCCTCCCTCTCTTTCTCTGGTGAGTATACAAGCCTTACAACAAAGTAAAAATAATATTAATAAACTAAAATTACGTTAAAGAAATAATTCTAACAAAATAAAAATAAATCTAGATTCTGCAATTTTTAGTCAGGGTTCTGATTATAAATTTAAAGGCTTTCATATTTTCCCTCTTTAAAATTATTAAACATGGGACCAGCAGATGGCATAGTGGTTACATCACTGGACTCCCATATGGACGACTTCGGTTCAAGTCTTGGACCTGGATGCTTGAAACTCACGCCAGATGCATGTGCATGTGTGCCCAAAATCCCAAGAGGTGACTGGAGAAGGGACCATGGTGTGGTTATCCCTCTGGGGGGTGATTTCTCACTTTCTGTCTCTCTGTCCCTCTCTTTCTCTCCAGCAAGTGCAAAAACCCTATAGCAAAAATCTCTCTTAAAAAAAGTGTTAAACGTGTATTTAAAATTATGATAAAAATTTAGTTTCCAGAATTTTAATACATAATCATGGTAAGGTTAAACTAAGCCCATTTTTACTCTAGTTCCTCTTGTGCTTTTTAAAAAAATAATTCTAGGTTTATTTAGATAGAGTCTCTAGAAATACAGTTCCTGGTTAGACAGTGGCACAGAGGTAGTAACACAATGATCTATAGTGCTAGACCCACGGGAGAGCCTACGCAGGGATCGTAATCTCAGCTGCCTGATGCCGTGGGCAAATTCCAGGCATGAATGCACTGCTGCGTATTCTCTTCTTCTCTCTCTCATAAAAAAAAAAATATTTAGAAGAAAATGCTAAAATAGATAGATATATAGGAAATTTTTGAATATGCTGATTATAACTTATAAGCAAATGTTATAAGTTAACATTTTTTTTGGAGAAGTTTTTGCTATAGGCAAAAACACCTCTTTCTGGCATGTGCTCTCACCAGAAAGAGAGAAAGAGACAGAGAGATAGAAAGTGAGAAATCACATCCCAGGTGGGATGGCCATGCCACAATCCCGTCTTCTCCATTCTCCTCTCGGGATCTTGGGCACGCATGCACACGTGCCCGGTGTGAGTTTAAGCCACCAGGTCCAGGACTTGAACTGTGGTCAACTACATGGGAGTTTAGTGACATAGCCATTACACCAACTGCTGGTCCCTTAAGTTAACCTTTTAAGTTGTGTACTCTCCATGCACTTTCTCATTTATCTGATTTTTAAAATGTTTCTAATAATTTTTTCCATAACCACTTCCAGATATCTCCTCTGTCCTATTAATAAATTTTAACAAATATACATATTATTCTAAATTTACAACCCCCACACATACAGGCATTATTAATTGAGAGTGATCAACAATCATGCTAAAGCTTTCCTGCAGGAAAGAAAGTAAAAATATTCCCTATATGGACTTCCAATGGAACAAGAGAGTTTATTATAACAAATTCTTTTCACATGGAATAAAGAACTTACCAATTCAGGAAAAAGAAATCAATTCACTTGTAACATATAAAATGTAATAAGAAAACATAAAAATGAATAATAAAGTCTGGGTTCTGGAAACTTTTTATATTTAAATGTTGGTGATCTTTCACGATGATTTAATGATTTACTACCTAGAGGAAAGTCAGTAGATATTAGATCTGTAGAGTTTAGTATTAAATTGAACTCAGTGGAACTTGGCAATGACTGACTATATCACTAAAATGCATTTGGAAATATAACATTAACTTGGAAATTCAGTCTGGTGACTAGCTGTTATTTAGTGTTTGCCGTGGCTTCCTTTCTATAAAACTTTATTTATGTAACTCCTTAACCTTTGAGAAATCACTAACACTTATGTCAATTACTGGCATCCAACCAGGGTAGGCCCTGGGAAAATTGTACTAAGAAAGCAAGTCTTATCTTAAGGTCCTTTCAAACTAGGTTTTGTTCATATCTCTCTTCCAACTTAGATGGCCTCACTGGTCACTTTCCCAAGGAGCCTGGTGCTGTTATACTCCTTTCTCCCCTCCTCCAAGTATCCATTTGCCCACATTTTGGCCACAAATGCTCCAACACATGTCATTTGCAGGCTCTGTTCTTCCTTTTCCTTTCCTGTCACCCATTATCATCTGTGCATTTTCATTCCAGTGGAGAATGTAGATGGCATTTTCAAAAACATGTTGATAATGGACATTAGGTTAGTATGCTGGCCCTTTCTAGAAATGCTTTAATTTGTATCCATAAATATTTTAACTTCAGCTCTTTGCACTTTCAAAAAGATATGGGGTTATGAATTCCAGGATGCATAAAAATAAATCTGAAAGTTAAAATGTGATTTAAAAAATACATTTCTAAGACACTCTAAACAATGTATTATGTTCGACTATTTTCATACGTGTTTATTCCTTTTAAGTACTATATGGTTTCTTTTTTTGTAAATTTTTTTGAGAGGTTTTTGTTATAGGGGGTGTACACTCACCAGAAAGACAGAGAGAGACAGAAGAGACAGAAAGTGAGAAATCACCCCCCGAGGGGATGACCATGCCACAATCCCTTCTCCTCTATTCTCCTTTTGGGATCTTGGGCACGCACATACACACACACGCCCAGCATGAGTTTAAGCCACCGGATCCAGTAGTTGAACCATGATCGACTGCATGGGAGTCCAGCAACATAGCCATTACGCTAACTGCTGGTCCCAAGTACTACGTGGTTTCTACACATTTGTACAACTTCCCTGAATAGACCTATGACCATTTTCTTCAGTTCCATATATTTTGTAGCACTGCAGGGCAATTCTACTTGTCTTGATTGATGATACCTGAAATTCTATATATTGACAGTTTAACATCTCTTCTGTGTTCTCATTGTTATAAATGGCAGACTTGTAGTATTCAGTGCCTGAATACTTGATTGTGTCCTCTTCATGAGTTTTCTCATTTACCTGATTTTTAAAATGTTTCTAATCACTTTTTCCATAACCACTTCCAGATGTCTCTTCCATTCTGTTAATTAGACCATCATCTTCCTGTTCTAAGTTTACCTTTTGGGGAGAGAACTTCAATATCTAATGATTTAACTCTACAGTGGTACAACAAAAGTTGAATTCATCCTACAAAGGTGGGCAGATTATTAAATGGGTAATATGTTTAAATTTAACATTTATTTAATAGACCCTTAAATTGGACTGACCTTGTGCAAGGCACAACCTCTTTAAAATTATTCCCTCATTTAATCCTAACAATGCTATGAAGCAGATATTATGCATGGATTGAGAAATGAGGCATGTAGAGAGACAAAGCAAGATGCAGGGTCTCAGAAAGCTAAGGAATAAAGGAGCCAGGACTCCAAAGTCTGTATCTCCTAATCATTAGATGATATGGCCATAATAAATGTATACAAAGTACAATTCTCTGCTAGCTGCTAATGATTCAATATCCCATTAACCAGACCAAATTCAACACATTTTATAACTATTAATTCACAAATATTTTATACTCCCTTTTACCCCTCCCATTCCACTGGACAAAAGAATGTAAAATTCTCTGTTGAAACTGATATAAATGGTAATTTTCTCAATTTCACGGTCATGTGCTATGTGCATACTTTTAAAAACCAAATCATGTGCTATAGAGACATACAGTGAAGGAATGCAAATAAAATAACTATATAAGAAAATAAATACAATTTTCAAAAACCTAGGGCCAGCTGGTGGCCCTAAGGTGACTGGTTAAAATGACTAGTTCCCCACTTGGCCAACTGATAGTTTGAGTCCTGGACCTGGTAGCTTGAAAGACACTCCAGTGCATGTGCATGCATGCCCCAAAGCCTGAGGAGGATGGAGAAGGAATTGTAGAGTGACCATCCTTCCTTGGGGTGATTTCTCACTTTTCTTTTTTCTCTCTCTCACTTTCTCTCTCTCCAGCAAGCACAGATGCCCTATAGCCAAAAACAAAACCAAAATCAACAACAAAACTAACATACTTACAAGGAATATCCCTGTATCCAATCTCCAAAGCATGGAAATAATTCATGAATTCCCTAGTTGGAATTTTGAAAGCTTCAAAGAGGCCCATGTCTTCAAAAAGTCTGTATGATACCTGTAAAAGAGAAAGACAAAGCCTTATAAAACATTCCTCAGTGTGCCTTAGACATAAAGAGAACAAAATACATATTGAAGACTTCTATATGCCTACTTTGTAGTTCCTGATTACAGACACATGATTTATTTTTAAGGGTAAAGACGTGACATATGCTCAAGAAAACCAACAAAAAACTGGTATGTACTACAGCAATATACCAAAGCACTAAATTTGGAGATTGGTAACTAGAGAATGATACACACTAAGTTGCTAATTATATAGTATGTGTTATAAGCACTAAATAAAGGACAAGAGAAAGCTTGAATTTGGACTAATTTTATTCTTATTTGTTCATTATTTTATTGCCAGAGGGCAAGTGTTCAAGAAAGAAAGCGAAAACCCCCCCAACAGGGTGTGGCCAAGCCACAATCCCCTACCCTTCACTTACTCATCCTGTTAGGATCTGGGGCATGTGTGTGCACGCACCCAGCATGTTTCTCAAGCCATGGGGGCCAGGACTTAAACCACAGTTGGCCATGTGAGACCTGCTTACCCACTTTACTATGGGCTGACCACAGGGTAATAATTTTATTTTAAAAAATAAATAAAGCTTGCCAGAAGATAAAGGCTTCAGAGTTTTGCCTTAGCAGAAAATAAGAGAAAAGAATTATGCGAGAGAAGATAAGGGTTGCTCTAACTAAAGATAGAGAGAAAAGATTTATTCTAATCTAATATAAACAATAAAGTCTAAACTAGTTTCCCTCGCTTTTTTTTCTCTCTTCTTTCTTCAAGTATCTATTTTATTTTAATTATTTTCACTTCTCTGGCTTAAATCCAATTAATACGGTTGGATATAACTGGTGTAGTTGACATGGAGATGATAGCACGAGAAAAAAGTGATGTAAGGATAGAAAAAGGTAATGGGAAGAGAAATAGTTATTCCTGTGCCTGAATGGAGCACAAAAATCACTTAAAACAGCCATGCTTCATGTTGCAAAGGTATAGTGTTGGTCAAAATTCAAAAGATTTCTTAGAAATATTCATTTTATTCATCGTCTGTATTCCTTCTTAAAATTCTCTTGAAATATTTCTTCAGATTTCAATACATTACATGATTAAATTTCTTTCTTTCATTACTAAATTTAAATCGATTCCATTTTACTGTTCATGTAATTATATATTCAATGTTTCTTGGTCACATCTATGTACTTATCTATACATACTTTTGAAGGGAAGATTTTTTTGGTACAAAAAAAATCTCCCAAAACTGAAATCCATGAACAGATTTTTTAAAAAATCCATGCATTGAAAAATCCATGGGTTTTTTAAAAGCCCTTGTTTATAACTAAAACAGGTATTCATTCATTCAACATCTATTTTTTTTTTCTCCAAAGTTTATTTCTTCCATGAGAGAGAGAAAAAAGGAAGACAGGGAGACAAGCATCCCCAAAAGGGTCTTTGCACTGCAGGTCTGGCCCTGTCCTTAGCCAGCTTGTATCACACATCAAGAACATACAGGGACGTGTTCTACACCAACCTGGAACATTTCTGTGTGAGTCCAACCTTGCCTTACTGCTGGGCCTCCACTGCCAGCCCTCAATAGCAACTGATAGTAGCAATTTCTACTATCTGCAAAATGTGTATGCATGCAACACACACACACACAAATACATCATATATTATAGCATATGTGTATATATACATATAGATAAGAACATATGAATAAAACACAGATCTCTTCAAATGTGGTTGTTAGAGTAGACATATTCAGGAGGTGATGTTTGAACAAAGAATTGAAGGCAGTCTGAGGTGAGCCATGTGGTTACATGGAAGAGCTTTCCAGACGGAGGGAAAAGCCACTACATTGGGCCTGAGGTACGCTGTACTCAAGAAACGGCAAGAAGGCCAGTATGGTCAAAACAGAGAGAATGAAGACAAGAGGAAATGAAGTTAGTCACTGTTATTCACTGTGAATGAGTGAAGATTTACTTTTTTACAAGTATGTTTATTTTTCCTCTTTTTCTGTGCCATATAACATCTCTATCTCCTGTCTTTAAAAATGCTACAAAAAGTGAGGTTCATGGTTTCGGTCATAGTGTAATTCAATTTATTTCTCTTCTTCTTGTAATTAATTTCTGTCTTGATTGGAAGGTAGGTGCCTTGCCATGCTGCAAGCCTCCCATAACCTTCCGACCACCCAGAATCATGAATGTGCACAGCTGCACCGGACATGCTCAAATCTACCCAGGACCCAAATGTGATCTTCCATATGACTCCAGGATCATGCAGGGGGCCCCACTGCCTGTGCTACCATGGCTTGGATCAAGCTATTCACTACCTTTAGTTATCATCTCTCCATTATTGCTTTAGGCTATATTTGCATTCTTGTTTGTAAGCACATAAGGGATTTACCTACTCACATTACCTCTTTAATAAAAGTAATAATAACAGCAGCAGAATGTCTATGCACATACACATAAGCATATGTAGTCTGCTCTAAGTAGTTTACATGTATTAATTATCTACATAATCCTCACAGAAGCTAGAGATAGGTACTATTCACTGGTAATATTTGAAAACAGAGGAAACTGAGGTAAAATAGGTTGAGTGACTTGTCTAAGATCACACAGTGGACAATATATCAGAGCCAGACTTTAAATTGAGCATCTTGGCTTCAGATTTTATACTCTTAACTGCTTCAAGGACCACCACCATCATTCAAAAACCAGTATTGTTAAAACCACAAATAAATGTTTCCTATGAGTCTTTCAAAAAACTTCAAAGAACTGAAAAATGGAAACAACAGGATATTTTAGAGTATTATGTTAGAAGAGAAATTTTCAAGAAGCTGTCAAAGTGCATCACCAGGGTCAGTAGGTGGTATGGTGATTTAAGGGGCTGACTCCTACATGGTTGATCACTATTTGAGTCCCAGACTTGATGTTTTGCTTTGAAATTCATACAAGGTGTGCACGTGTACGTGACCAAAATCACAAGAGGAGAATGGAGGAGAAAAGACTGGCCACTATGTGACCATTCCCACCCCTCTGATTTCTCACTTGCCTTCTCTCTGTCTTTCTCTGTCTCTCTCCAGTGAGCACACATATCCTATGGCAAAAATGTTAAAAAAAAAATCCACTACCAATAACTTAACATATGGTTATTCTAAATTCAAAATAAACAGAAGATACCATCAAGTGGGTAAATATAGGTAACTTAAAAGAATAAACACTGTTTCAAAGTCTGAAGGATGTCCTTTTAAATTTGTTAAAATAAACATGGTAATCATCAAAAGGCAGGCTTTATATCGTGGCTGGGAGAAATCATTTCCACTGCACACATGTCTCTTTAAAAAATCTTTTGAAGTGAGACTTTCTGTGTAGTCTCAGTCAAAAGGTGATTTCTTGGAATGTCCAAGTTAATTCATTTCAGCTGTCCTTATGTCGTACTAAGGAAAAAAAAAATGCCTTTCCCATAATCAAAATTTCATGATTTTTGTACTCATAAACTCAAATCAAAGCAAAAAACTCCTAAGTCTTACTTAGCAAGGCTAATGAAGCTGCATTTTTTCTCAAAAGTTCAATGCTTTGTGAATTGAGAAAGTAAATACTGAGTGATAAGAATCATGTAGTAGTGTATTACTTTATGTTATTTTTAAAAAGATGGCTGGAACAAAAGATATATTAGTGAATTTTGTGGAAATCGAATTAATAATAATTCCCCATCTTTCTAAGATCTGCTCATGTCTACAACTGTTAGAAAGCACTTGTGACAATACACTTCATTTCCACTCTTCCACCCCTCAGCTCACAGAACTTTGAGGGGAGCACGATATCTGTAGCAATCTTTGGTACATGATCATGTGTGCTCTAAACAAACTGCCTTTTTTTTTTTTTTTTTTTTTTGAGAGGTTTTTGCTGTAGGGCGCGTGCGCTCGCCAGACAGACAGAGAGAGACAGAGACAGAAAGCAAGAAATCACCCCCAGGGGGGGTGGCCACGCTGCAATCCCTTCTCCTCCATTCTCTCGGGATCTTGGGCATGCACGCACACACGCCCGGCGTGAGTTTAAGCCACTGGGTCCGGGACTCGAACCGTGATCGACTACGTGGGAGTCCAACGACATAGCCATTACACTAACTGCTGGTCCCCTGCTTTTTTTTTTAAGAGAATTTTTTTGCTATAGGGAGCATGCTCTCATCAAAGAGAGACAGAGGGAAAGAAAGAAATCACCTCACCCACAGAGGAGGTGGCCAAGAACAATCCCATCTCCTCCATTCTCCTGTTGCGATTTTGGGCACAGGCATACACACACACACAGACACACACACGCCTGATATGAGTTTTAAGTCACAGGGCCCAGGACATGAATAACGGCCATGCAGGAGTCCAGCACCTTAACCACTACATCACCTTCTGGTCCCTTAGATTTTTGCCGTAGAGTGTGTGCACTTGTTGGAGAGAGACAGAGAAACAGTGAGAGGGAAAGTGAGAAATCACCCCCAAGAGGGGATGGCCACATCACCATCCCTTCTTCACTCTTTCTGCTCCTGGGATTCTGGGCACACACACAAATGCCCAGCGTGAGTTTCAAGCTGCTGGGTTGGGACTCAAACCACAGCTGGCAATGTGGGAGTCCACCACCTTAAATACCATGCCACCTGATGACTCCAAACCAACTGCTTTATTAACCAATTTTCTCATTGTTCAGACTCCATTTAGAAGGCTTGAAGACACAGGGACCAGCAGATGATGTAATGGTTACATTGCTGGACTGACCGCTGTTTGAGTCAACCCAGTGGCTTAAAATTCACACTGGGGACGTATGTGTGCATGTCCAAAATCCCAAAAGGAGAGTGGAGAAGGGACTGCAGCATGACCGTCCCCTCCCAGAGGTTGATTTCTGGCTGTTTGTCCCACAAGTAAACACGTCTATAGCAATAAATCACTCTCTCTAAATTAAAGGCATGAGGATATAACAGCTAACTGTGTTTTACAGGAGGCAGAGAAGCAGCTAAAGAATGTAAAAAGCCCGAGTTTCTGATATGGATAAATCCACATGTGAATCCTGGTCTAGTATCTACTATGCAACTTTAGAAAAACAGATAGCTTCTCTCTGGTGAACATGTGATGTATACCCTGTAGCAAACTAAACAAAAACAAAAACAAAAAAAAATTAAGCAATTGAATGTTTTTTTTTGACATTAAAAGTCACGCACAAAAATGCATTTCTTACCTGACTAAGAATACGGCCACATTTTCTTCCTATGTTTTCCACTAAATCAAAAATGGGAAAATTCCAAGTATTTAGCTGTTCCATGATTGAGTCCAGGTTATCCATGACAAGAGGCTCGGGAGCAAGAACTGGTTTGTCCTGTAATGAAAATTAAAATATTTTAATAACATGTAGTTTTTCTAAGTTCAATTTAATAACTGTAGTTATCTAAAATAAACAACTTAAAATCCAGGGTTAAAATATGGTTATTAAAAAAAAAAATCTAGATGAACAAGACATTGACTCCAAAGTGAAAAGGAAATTATCTAATGCCATTTCAGATGGAATTTGTCAATGTGAGATGCCTGCCTACCCCTGCTTCATGCATACGCCACCAAAAATGGAATGTTTTTGCCCGGAGATAACTTAACTGGTTGTGAGTGCACTGCAGGGTTCTTAAAGACTCAGGACTCTGAAATTACAGGTAAATTTATATCTTTATATATTTATCTAAATATTTGGGGGATGGTTTCCTAGCTTATATTGGACTCACCAAAGAAATGTATAAGTTAGTGGGACTTACTCTGCCCTACTGCAACTGATCAAATTTAAATTAATGCTTCGGAATCAACATTAACCCAACAGTATGACAACTGCAACGTTTTTCAAGGATTTTAATTTAATTCGCATAATCTGTTTCCTGAGAAACATCCTCCATGTAAATGTAACAACATTTTATAACAGTCCCAAGTGGGGCTATTGAAAGTACATTTGTAAGGAAGAGAAAGAGAAGAGGGAAGGGAATAGGAGGAAGAAGAGAAAGGAAAGGAAGAAACAAAATAAAGATAATGAGGATAAAGAAACATATAAATTACTTTACCTGACAGTCTATTTGACTTAAAAGTACAAATGGGAAGTAGAGCAAAACAAAAAAATGATATCTGACTTAAAAATACAAATGGTGAACACAGAAAAAAAAATTATAGTAGGGCTGGCAGGTAGTGTACTGGTTAAGGGACTGTACTCTCACAGGGTCGACTGCAATTCGAGTCCCAGCTTGGGGCAGCTTGAAACTCACAGTGGGCACATGTGTGTACATTCTCAAAATCCTGAGAGGAGAATGGAAGAGAAGGGTTTGTGGTATGACCATACCCTCTGCGGGGTGATTTCTCACTTTCTCTCTCTTTGTAGACTCTTTCTGTGTCTCCAGTGAGCACATGCACCCTATAGCAAAAATCACTCCAAAAAATAAAAGAGAGTACCTTTACAAAGAAGAGAAAAAAAAAAAAAAAGAAAAGGGGGGAAGGGAAGAGGAGGAATAGGTAGAAGAAGAGAACGAAAAAGAAGACAAAATAAAGATAATGAACATAACAAAACACATATATTACTTTACCTGACGTCTACTTGACTTAAAAGTAAAAATGGTAAATACAGCAAAAGAAAAATGATAATACCAATGATGAATACTCATATGACAGTCAACTTTTTCTGTCATTTGCTGCCTCCCACAAATTAACTTGAATAAAATTTATTCTCTTGTCTTCTTTGAATGAATCTCTTTATATATACAAAATAAGTCATCATTAAAGGAGGAAAAAATACACACACACACACACACACACACACACACACAGGAAAAGTTATGATGCAATTTTGCATAGAAAAACATAAATTACATCATGACTTTCCCAACAACTTTATATTTTTTTCTTTTTTCCTTTTAAAGATTTTTGCCACCCAGTTCCATCTCCAGCCCCATGGCCAGCAAGAAACTTTGAGGCAGGGCCACCACTGGCCCCAGCCTCAGCTCCAGCTAGCTCTCCCAACCCCAGAGTGCTCCTCTTTCAGAAAGGTATGCAGAGTTTTTGCTTCTCTTCTTTCTTTTGTTAATTTCCTAGTTCTCCTTGCCCCACAGATTGGTCTCCACTCTCCAGGAGAGCCCCAGTTCCATCTCCAGCTCCATGGCAAAATCTTGTGCCATGTGACTTTTTTTATTCTCCTTTGTACTCTTTTCTTCCCTCTTATATTGCCCTTTCCTCTTCATCATCCACCCTCCCAGAGGGACTAGGCAGGTCTAGAATCACCTGTCTAGTCCCTCTGAATTACCCCAGTATTTTAAGGCTTCCAGGGATCTTCCCTTTTACTGAACCACCTGTGACAAAGGAGATTCTGTTCTTCAGACACCTGAGTAGAATACTCCTCTTGAGACCATATTGCTAAACACAACAGAAGAGAGACTTCAGCACACATCAGCAAAAGGGAAACACACTCCTAGTTGAAGAAACATTCTCCTAAAAGGTATTCAAAAGTGAATATATCTCCCAATGGCTGGAAGTAGAAGAGCCTCAGGTCTGAATAAGCCAGGAAATATGTCCCTATCAAAAGAACACAGTAACTCTCCTCCATTTCTCGAAAAAAAAATAAAAAAAGAAAAAACAGAGGAAGTCACCAAAATATCAGAGAAATAATTTAGAACATTCATGGTGACAAAATTCTATGAGTTGGAACAGAAAAGAGACAAGGAACTACATACAGATTGGGAAGTTCTTCCATGATATGACAGAAGAAATGGATACTATAAAAAAGAATCAGATGAAACTATTAGAGATGAAGTCTGTAATTCAGGAAGTCAAAAACTCTCTTGAAACAATTAAAAGTCAATTAGACCATGCTGGGACCAGCAGTTAGCGTAATGGCTATGTCGCTGGACTCCCATGTAGTTGACCGTGGTTCGCGTCCCAGACCCGGTGGCTTAAAACTCATGCCGGGCGCATGTGTGTGCGTGCCCAAGATCCCAAGAGGAGAATGGAGGAGAAGGACCTGCAGCATGGCCATACCCCCTGGGGGGTGATTTCTCGCTTTCTGTCTCTCTGTCTCTGTCTGTCTCGCGAGCGCACGCACTATAGCAAAACCTCTCCAAAAAAAAAAAAAAAAGTCAATTAGACCATGCTTAAGATTAAATCTCTGATGTAGAAGATAAAACCTCTGACTGAGATAAAGATTCCAAGAAGATAGAGAAAAATAACAAAAAACACGAGCATAATATACGAGAAATACTAAATTCCATTAAACATCCAAACATCCAAATAATTGGTGTCCCAGTAGGTGAAGAAACTATTAAGGGCATGGAAAATCTATTCCATGAAAGCCTGGAAAGAAATTTCCCAAGTCTAGAGAGGCACTCAAACATCCAGACCCTAAAAATACAAAGGACCCCAAAAAGAATCAACCAAAAAAATCTTCCCCAAGGCACATCTTAGCCATATTGGCAAAGACCGCAGGTAAAGACAGGATATTAAAACTGGCAAGAGAGAAATGACAAGTGACTTACAAAGGTCATCCCATCAGGCTAACACAGAACCTCTCAATGGAAACAATGCAAGGAAGCAAAGAATGGGAAGACATATTGAAAGTATTAAAAGAGAAATAATTTCAACCAAGATTATTATATTCTGCAAGATTATCCTTCACATAGGAAAAAAAAAGATTAAAATCTCCTCAAACAAAACCTGAAAGAATTTGCCAACACCAGACAAGCTCTTCGAGAAATATTAAGAGTACTGTTCCAGGAAAACTAAAGAATGAACAGCCAGCTGAGAAATCCTAAAGAGTACTGTTCCAGGAAAACTAAAGAATGAACAGCCAGAAATAAAGGAATAAAAGGCAACCAAGACAATGGCCCACTTAAATGTTGGAACAAGTCCAGAAATAGTGATAATAACATTAAATGGATTAAATTCTCCAATCAAGAGACACAGACTGGCTGAATGGATTAAAAAACAGAAACCCTCTATCTGTTGCTTACAGGAAACCCACCTCTTGGATAAAGACATACATAGACTGGAAGTGAAGGGTTGGAAAAAGGTTTTCCATGCAAATGGGAACCAAAAAAAGAGCTGGAGTCATGATACTAATTTCTGACAAAACAGGCTTTAAAACAAAAACTGTTCGAAGAGACAAAGAAGGGCACGATATTGTAGTTAAAGGGTCAATCGATCAAGAAGGTATAGTGACTATAAATATCTATGCACCTAACACAGGAGCACCCAAATGCATGAAGGAAAGACTTAGATCTAAAAGGAGAGACAGACTTCAACACACTAATTGTTGGAGACCTCAACACCCCACTATCCCTTCTGGACCAATCATCTAGACAAAAGTAGGTAGAGAGATAAAGGATCTAAATGATACCAAAAATCTAATGGACTCAACAGACATCTATAGAACTTTCCACACAAAGACCACGAGATACACTTTTTTCTCATCTTCACATGGAACCTTTCGAAAGACTGACCATTTGATAGGCCACAAGACAAACCTCAACAGATTCAAAGGCATAGAAACTATACCCAGCATCTTTTCTGAACATGATGGAATTAAACTTGATTTTAATTTCAAGAGAAATCCACAAAAATACTCAAATACATGAAACTAAATAACCTACACCTGAATGACTTCACAACTACTGAAGAAATAAAGATTGAAATCAAAAGATTCATGGAAGCCAATGACAATGAGGACATAAGTTTCCATAATCTTTGGGACACTGCTAAAGCAGTCATAAGAGGGAAGTTCATAGCAATTAGTGCACATAATAGGAATACAGAAAGAAGGCAAATTAATCTCCTAACATTGTGCCTCAGAGAATTGAAAAGCAACAACAAAAAACTCCAAAAAACTCCAGGAGAAAGGAAATAATAAAGATACAAGCAGAAATAAATGAAATAGAAAATAAGTGAACTATACAGAAAATAAATGAAAGTAAAAGTTGGTTCTTTGAAAAGATAAAATCGATACACCTCTCAGTGAATTGAATCAAGAAGAAGAGAGAAAGGAAGGAACCAGGTAAATCAAATCTGTAATGAAGCAGGCAATATAACAACAGACATAGTAGAAATATAAAACATTGTTAGAGGTTACTATGAACAACTATATGCCAAGAAACAAGAAACTCTGGATGAAATGGACAAATTCCTGGACACATATAATCTACCAAGATTGAGTCAGGAGGAAATGGTAAGTCTGAATAGGCCCATAAAAAGCCAGAAAATTGAATCAGTAATACATAACCCCCGAACAAAGAAAAGCCCTGGTCCTGATGGCTTCACCTCTGAATTCTACAGGACTTTTAAAGTAGAGTTAACCCCCATTCTACTCAAGTTATTTCTAAAGATCCAAAATGGTGAATCTCTCCCTAATTCATTATATGAAGCCTCCTTCACATTTATCTTTAAAACTGATAAGGACAGGACAAGGGTGGAAAACTATAGACCAATATCTCTGATGAATATAGATACAAAGATTCTCAACAAGATACTAGAAAATCATATCAAACAACTTATAAAAAAAGATTATACATCATGATCAGGTAGGCTTTATTCCAGGAATGCAAGGTTGATTCAACATATGCAAAACCATAAATGCAATATGCCATATTAACAGAAAGAAAGATAAAAACCACACAATCATATCAATTGATGCAGAAGAAGCATTTGATAGGATACAACATCCCTTTATGATCAAGACTCTCAGCAATATCGGCACAGAAGGGTCATTCCTCAACACAATAAAAGCTATCTATGTAAAACCCATAGCAAACATCATCCTGAATGGATCAAAGCTGAAAGATTTTCCACTAAAAACTGGTACAAGACAAGGATGCCCACTATCTCTACTCTTGTTCAATATAGTACTGGAAGTCCTCACCAGTGCAATCATAAAAGAGAATAAAATAAAAGGCATTCAAATAGGAAAAGAAGAGGTGAAACTCTATTCACAGATGACATGATTGCATACATATAAGACCCAATGGTAGCCATGAAAAAATTCCTGGAAGTAATACATGGATACAGTAAAGTTGCAGAATACAAAATAAACATACAGAAATCTATAGCACTTCTATATATGAACAGCAGGCAGACTGAGATAGAACTTAAAGTAATTCCATTTACTATAGCCACAAAAAGTATAAGATGTTTAGGAGTAAAGCTAACCAAAGAAGTCAAAGACTTCTACAAGGAAAACTACAAAAATCTAAAAAAAGAAATTGAAAACGACACAAAAAAGTGGAAGGACATCCATGTTCCTGGATTGGAAGAATTAATATAATCAAAATGGCAATTCTACCAAAATTAATCTACATATGTAATACAATCCCAATCAAAGTACCAGACACATTCTTCACAGATCTAAAAAAGATAATCATACAACTTGGCTGGAATCATAAAAGACCTCATATTGCCAAAGTAATCCTGCACAAGAAGAGTGGAGTGGGTGGCATCTCATTCCCAGACCCAAAAATATACTACAAAGCTATGGTAATCAAACCGCATGGTACTGGCACAGAAACAGACAGGTGGACCAATGGAACAGAATAGATTCCTCAGAAATAAATTCCCAAACTACAGTAAACTAATTTTTGACAAAGTATACCAGTCAATCCAGTGGGAAAAAGAAAACCTCTTCAGCAAATGATGCTGAAAAAACTGGATATCCACCTGCAGAAAGATGAATCTGAACCCCTACCTCTCACCATTGACATAAATTGACTCAAGGTGGATCAAAGATCTAAACCTAAGACCTCAAACTGTAAAAGTGCTCCTGGAAAACACTGGGAAAACTCTTGGAGATGCTGGGGTAGGCAAAGACTTCTTAAATAAGACCCTCAAAGCACAGTCAATAATCCCCGAAATAGACAGGTGGGATTACATCAGACTAAGAAGTTTTTGCATGGCAAAAGACACGGTAATTAGTGTGAATCAGCAGTACTCAGAATAAGAAAATATTTTTGTAAACTATGTGTCACATAAGAAATTGATAACCAGAATACACAAAGAACTCAAGCTGCTATTGGAAAAAAGATGTTCAACACTATTGAAAGATGGGAGAAGGAGTTGAAAAAACTACTCTCTAAGGATGACAAAAGAATAGCCAAAAGACATATGAAAAAATGCTCAATCAACATCTCTCATTGTACAGGAAATGCAGATCAAAACAACAATAAGATACCACCTAACCCCAGTCAGAACAACTAATATTAAAAAATAAAAAAATGATAAGTGCTGGCAGGTGGTGGGGTAAAAAGGGAACTCTCTTACACTGCTGGTGGGAATGTAAATTGGTCCAGCCACTGTGGAGAACAATTTGAAGATTCCTCAAAAATCTACAAACAGAAATACCATATGATCCAGCAAGCCCACTCCTTGGTATCTACCCAAAGGACAGAAGAATTCTTAATCAGAAAAGTGCTTGCACATTGATGTTTATTGAAGCAATATTCACAATTGCTAAGACTTGGAACCAGCCCAAATGCCCATGAACAGATGAATGGATTGAAAAACTGTGGTACATATACTCTATGGAATAATAGCCATAAAACATAAGATCATGGCTTTTGACAGAAAGTGGATGAATATGGAAGATTTACTGCTGAATGAAGCAAGCCAGACTATGACGGAGAGACACTGTATGTCCCCACTTAATATATACCAAGTGTCCACACTCTATGACTGAAACTGAACGACTAAAGGATGTAGAAACACAGTAAATGGCTGTGAATACCAGATTTACTGTGGGAAGAGGAGGGGTAAAGGAGTAGAATCTGAGGAAGGACATTAAGGAGAAAAATAGGGAGGCAAAGCATAATGGGGCAAAGAAATGGGGTGTTATCTGTTGAAGAAAATAACTTTATAGTATTATCAACTGGACTGGGGAGAAATGTACACATGTTGGAATATTCACTTTGCAAGCTAAATATTGTGATTGACTGTATAAAAGAACTTAAAATAAAAATAAAAGAAAGAGTTTTGCCATAGGGCATGCACACGCACCAGAGGGAGAGAGAGAGAGGAAGAGTGAGAGGGGAAAGTGAGAAATCATCCCCTGAAGGGATGGACATACTGCAATCACTTCTCCTCCAATCTCCTCCTAGGTTTTTGGGCATGCATGCACATGTACTCGGTGTGATTTTTATGCCTCCAGGTCAGGGACCTAAACTGTGGTCAGCCATGTAGTAATCCAGCACCTTAATCACTACGACATCTGCTGGTCCAGTAGCGTATTTTAATAAGTAGCATATGTCAACATAAATCTGGTTTAAAATAATAAGTAAAATAAATATTAGCTCATTTTCTAAATCAATGAGGTACAGGAAAAAAACCAGCAGATCCCCCGCAACATTATCTCCCTTCTTCCTTTCTCTCATCTTTTTCCTTCCCTTCCTTTTTCTTCCTTTCCCTTCCCCTTCCTTCCCTTTTCTTTTTTCTTTCTCTGTATAAGATATTGTCCTAAGTAAAATAATTCATTTTCCCTATACATTTA